TTCCCTACTCCCTGCTATTGGAAGGGACTCTTCCTAATTCCCAAGTAAAATAAAAAGAAAGAAAACAGAGTCAAAAAAGCAAGGAATTTACGTTCCACAGGTTCTTGCCTTCTAGCAGAAATAACAATTGTCTGTCCATAGCTGTAACTAAAACAACCCTTGTAACTTCAAATTAGACCATAACCTAAGGTGGTCCAAGCAAAATCACCACCCAAGGATCAAACTGCTCTATTATAATTGTCTGTTAATTAAGAAAAATTATAGTTCCTATCTCATATAGACACAAAAATAAATTTAAAAAGTATTCAAGTGCAGAATATAAAAATATGACAAAAGCACAAGAAAACCTGGCTAAATATTTGTCATAATCCTGTAACATAGAAGGCTTTTCTAGATAAGAAACCTAAAAGACATAATGGGATAAACTGATAGATTCAACAACACAAAAAATGTAAAACCTCTATAGAGCAGAACACACCATGAATGACACTAAAAAATAGTCAACAAACTAGGCAAGAAATACTTGTAACATGTGAAGAAAAACTGAAGAGGATAAAAATAAAATCCATAAAATATGAAGATGACATAAATCAATTTTTTTAAAAAATCCAACAGAAAAAAATGCACAATCAATTCATATAATGTATTGAGTAAACACATCTGTTCAAAAAGCTAGTGTTTAAAGAAATAAAAATTTGAATTCCAATGAGATATAATTTACCCCATTAGACTGATAAAATGGAAAAAAAATCATATAAGTATTGACAAGGATGTGTGAAAATGGGTACAAATTGTATCGATAGAAACATAAATAAGTACAAAATTTTGGGTGGGCAATCTGGGAATATTGATTAAAGTTTTTCAATTGCATCTATCTTTAAAACAGAAATTGTACGTCTAGGTAATTCATACTGCAGGAAGACTCGCATAAGATACACAATGACAACCTACATAGCAAGACTGTAATTGCAAGAGCTATAAACAACCTAAATATTTATCCATCAATAATTGACTGGCTACCAAAGCTACAATGGACTATGCGGCTTTGAAAAAAGAATGATGTAGTGACATGGGAAAATATTACAAAATGTTGAATGAAAAAAGCTGTAACAGCTCATTGTCTAATCTTATTTTTATTTTCTTTAAATCAAACATGTGCATGCATTCAAGAAGCGGGACTGGCAGCAGGGGGGTGTTCACTTTCTGCTTTGAAGTTCTGCATTGTTTCACCTTTTTGTTTTTACTTTTTTTGAATATGCATAACTTTTATACCTAAAAAATTATTCTACAGAGCCATACCAAATGTTGTAAACAGTTTACAGTGTTAAGTCTTAGACTCTTAATTATTGTTGTCCTTTCTAAAGTATGTACCAAGGTTCTGACAGAAAGAAGATGCCCAAGGACCTGATTCAAAGCAGACCATAGTGTCACGCCTACAATCTCTGACTTTTCCAAGTGAAGCCACCTTGGGATTTAAACACTGCTAAAACAGAGTATGGCCTTACCAACATTTGGTACGGTCAGTCTCCTTAACTCTAGCCATTCTAATAGGTGTGTAATGGTCAGTCTCCTTAACTCTAGCCATTCTAATAGGTGCGTAATGGTATCTCATTGTGGTTTTAATTAGCATTTCCCTCAAAACTAATAATGTCGAGCATCTTTTCATTCGTTTATATGTTACCTATATTATATATATATATATATATATATATATATATATATATATATATATAAAGTACAGTGTCTATCTGAATATTTTTAATTAGGTCATTTCTTTTTCTTATTGTTTTAATCTGAAGAGTTCTTTGTATATATATTCTAAATACAAGTCATTAATCAGGAATATGCTTGGCAAAAAATTTTTCCCAGTATGTGGCGTCTTTTTTTTTTTTAACATCTTTATTGGAGTATAATTGCTTTACAATGGTGTGTTAGTTTCTGCTTTATAACAGAGTGAATCAGTTATACATATACATATGTCCCCATATCTCTTCCCTCTTGTGTCTCCCTCCCTCCCACCCTCCCTATCCCACCCCTCCAGGCAGTCACAAAGCACCGAGCTGATCTCCCTGTGCTATGCGGCTGCTTCCCACAAGCTATCTACCTTACTGTTTGGTAGTGTATATATGTCCATGCCTCTCTCTCGCTTTGTCACAGCTTACCCTTCCCCCTCCCCATATCCTCAAGTCCTTTCTCTAGTAGGTGTGGCGTCTCTTTTCATTCTCTTACCAGAGTCTTTCAAAGAGCAGACTTTAATTTTAATAATGTCTAATGTATCCATTTGTTCAGTTATAGATTGTGCTTTTGGTGTTGTATCTAAGAAATCATTACCTACCTGAGGTCTCAAAGATTTTCTCCTGTGTTTTCTTCTAGAAGCTTTAGGTTGCAAAGTTAGGTCTCTGAACCGTTTTGAATTAATTTTTCTACATGGTGCAAAGTATGGATTAAATTTCATTTTTTGTATATTGATATCCAATGTTCAAGCACTATTGGTGGAAAAGGCTATATTTTCCCCACTTTACTGTTTTTGTGGTTTTGTCAAAAATCAGTTATCTATATGTAAGTATGTTTATTTCTGGACTACCTATTCTGTTTCATTGATCCGTTTGTCCATTTTCATGCAAATGCAATTTTTACCATAGCTTTATAAAAATTCTTGAAATTAGGTAGTGTTGGCTCCCCAATACTGTTCTTTTTCAAAGTTGTTTTAGATATTCTAAGTTCTTGCAATTCCATGTGAAATTATTTTAGGCAAAAATGCCTTCAAGGATTAGAATAGAATTCCCCTGAATTTACAGATTAATGTGGTGAAATTTTAACAAAGTTGAGCCTTCCAACCTGTGTACATGACATATAGTCAATTCTCATTATTGAGATGATATCTCAATGATAGCTATGTTTTTTAATGTTCCTGCAAACAGTGAACTATCAAATATGGAATCACTGCTTCTGAGGAAATAAAAGGTTAGGTTCCTGTAAGCCCTTGGTCATAACATTTTTGTTAGTCAATTAATAAATAACAGTTTTATGTGTGTTTCTGGCTAAAATCCCTTACTTAATATATACTGTTGAATCACTAATATTGAACTCACAACAGTAACTCCTGCCTGAATGAAGTTTATCTAAACACATACATCTTACCCCAAGGCATATCACAGCCTTCTTGTGCTTAGGGACACTACAAAGCACTTCAGCACTATGCTTGGGGGCCATTTTAAACAGCCAAATCACCAACAAAAAGCACAAAAATGTGAAAAATGTGGCACTAAATAAACCGAGAAAAGGACGCTTGCTTACAGCAGGAGAACTGAAACAAGAAAGCAGAGTGTCACCTTGTTCAGCCTCAGTTCAGATTGCGCACAAAGGGCAACTCAAATTTTTCACCACTCTGCAGGTGTCAGCAAATGATCACAAAAGCGTTGCAAGTATTATTTTGGGGTTACACATAAATTTTAGCGAATAGACCAATTCACAAATACAGAATACATGAATAATGAGATCAAATGGATCTCTCAATTTACTTAGGTATCCTTTCATTTCAGCAGTATTTTATATTACTGAACAAATATATTCTTTTAACTTACTTTGTTGTATTTATCCATATACGTATTTCATATTTTTGATACTGTTGTAAATGGGTTTTTTTTCAGGTTGTTCCCTGCTAATGTATAGAAGTACAACCAATTTTTGCATATTGATCTTGTATCCTTCAATCTTACTATACTTATTCATTAGGTCTAGTAGAAGTCCATCAAATTTTCTACATAGAAAATCAGGTAGGGATTCCCTGGTGGCGCAGTGGTTGAGAGCCTGCCTGCCGATGCAGGGGACACAGGTTCGAGCCCTGGTCTGGGAAGATCCCACATGCCGTGGAGCAGCTAGGCCTGTGAGCCATGGCCACTGGGCCTGCACGTCCAGAGCCTGTGCTCTGCAACGGGAGAGGCCACAACAGTGAGAGGCCCGCGTACCACAAAAAAAAAAAAAAAGAAAAAAGAAAATCAGGTAATCTGTGAATTAGGACAGTTTTATTCCTTTCTTTGCAACGTGAATACCATTTATTTCCTTTTCTTGCCCTACTGCACTAGCTACAACCTCCAGGACAATGCTGAATAGGACTGATGAAAGTAGACATCTCTAACTTGTTTCTAATTTTAGAAAAAATGTGTTCAATCTTTCCACCAATAAGTACAATATCAGCAAACAAAGTTTGTCATGGATGCCCATTTTCATACTGAGGAAGTTCATTTCTATTCCTGGTTTACTGAAGGCTTTTTTAAAAATCAGGAATGGTTACCGGATTAGTCAAATGATTTTTCTGCATCTATTGAAATGACTGTGTGCTTTTTACTGTTTACTTTGTTAATGTGGGGAATTATATATATTATTTGATTTTTTTGAATGTTAAACCAACCTTACATTCCTGGGATAAACCCCACATGGTCATGACATAATATCTTTTTAAAATTTTGTTGAATTTGATTTGCTAAAATTCTGTTTAGATTTTTTACATCTATGTTTGTGAGTAGTATTGTTCTGTAGTTTCCTTGGAATGTCTTTGTCTCATTCTGTTATCCCAGTAATGCTGACATCAAAGTCTTTGGAAAACATTCCCTCCGCTTCAAATATTTTTGAAAAGTTTGTGTAGAATCGATATTATCTCTTCCTACAGTATTTAGTACAATTCACCAGTGAAACTATCTGAACCTGGAGTTTTCTTTGTGAGAACATTTTTTAAGTACAAATTTCAGTATCTTTACTACATATAGGGCTATTCAGATTATCTCTTATCTTCTTCTGCTTCCTTTGGGATCTGTTCTTTTCTACATTATTAAGGTGGAAATTAAAGTCATTTATTTGAGACCTTTCTTCCTTTCTAGTATAGATATTTAGAGCTACAGATTTCCCACTAAGTACTGCTTTAGCAGC